AGCCGTGCCAAAGCGAGCAGAAGTCACTTGTGCTGGTCCACACTGAGCTGTTTTGGTTCTTGGAATTCTTCGGCTCTCACTGTCCTGGGAACCTAGCAGCACCACGCCACCTGTTGTGCCACATCCTAACACTGTGTATTCCCCACCATCCACCCCAGGGCTCCCCGGACAGGCAGATGCTGACATGGAAATGGTGCAGATGCAGAGAGAGCTGAGCTGCAGTCGAGTACTCACTCTGCAGGGCACACGTAGGGAACTGCATGTACTTGACACAGAATAAACTCATTTTAACTGAGGCTTATGCCAATGTATTTCACTCAGAGTACATCATAGCCCATTGCTGACAATGATTCACTTAGGCAGTGATTTGTCCTCTAGGAAACACCTCTCCCTGTTCCTGGCTCTGCTTGGTGCATGCACCCAGGAATTCACTCTCATCCACTTCAGCTCTCTGTGCTGGCCTCTCCCTTACCCTGTCATCTGAAACGTAGCTGCAACACTGATTTTCCTCACTTCTCCTTCAGATTGGGATTAAATCATACCTGTTCCAGGGAAACACTTCAGCAAAGATGTGTTCCCAGTGGAAAGACCCTACAAAAGGCTCAACTCTTTCCTTCTGGTCCACTTGGATGCAAACAAGCTGATCTGCACTTTGCCAAGTTGCTAGCGACTCATTTGGGTCCATCTTCCCTAAAAAAAGGCGATCAAACAGGGAAAACAATATTAAACTTCTTTTAAAGACTGGCACTTGCAACCTCCAAGCCTCCCTCCATGTCATTATTACTTTGTTTTCTCCTGCAAAGAGAACTATCAGTTCCCACTGGATCAGTGTCCCACACTTCCCTGTCTCCAGGCATACAGAAAAGAACAACAGGCAGTTCCCTTTGCTCTCTGACTGCTTTCACACTCATGGAGACATGCACAGCCCAGAGAACGTCTCGGCTCCTGCCTTCCCTTCCTGGATGTGCTTTCAGCTGTAAAAAGCCTACACAGAGAGGGGTGGGACTGGCCTGGAGGTCTCTGTGCTGCAGGAGGAGGGTTCCCCATCTCCCATCTGCACAGTGAGGGTGGAGACAGGTTCCCACCTGGCACTGTATTGATTCCATGTAGGAAGCTTGGCTGCCTCACCCCGAGCTGAAGCCTTCCCAGTATTTCAACTGCTGCTGCTAACAGAAGTCACCAAGTGGAACAGCTCTTCCCATGCAGCAAGTTCTCCATTACCCTCAGCGCTGCTCTGGGCTTGTTCATCCTGTGCTAACTTGCAGGATACTCTGCACTGACGCCTTGTTTCCTCTGTTTGCGAAAGCAGAGAGCTTGCTAATCCCCCTCTGCCCACGTCAGAGTCCTAATGCTCTCCCTGGGCTTCCATCACAACTCCATAATCCTGGCTCAGCCCCAGCTGTAAGCACGGCTCCCTTTGGCTGTACGGAGAATTGCAGTTGGATTTTGGGATGGAGAAGGGCAAGCGTTCCTGTAGGCTCCTCTTAGTGCCCATTTCTACAATACCACATCACCACCAGGCACACTAGTGGTGCCAGGAGCATCTCCAGCAGCACAGGGAGAAGATACATCAGTAAAACATGGTTTAGGGTTGAGAAAAGGGTAGCAGGTGCCACATGTGAGGACTAAGGTGGAGAAACAAGGATCCGTTTCATCTGGCTGTGTCTAAATCAGGTCTGTTAAATTAATTCCCTGGGCACAACTTGATGTCACATTTTCCACTGCCACTTCTTCCCAACACCAGCTTTCCCCTGCACCTCCTTCCATGTCCTGTTTTAAACCCCAGCTCTGAGCACACCATCCCTATTGCCTTCAAACCAGCCCTCCGAGATGCCCCACAAAACCACAACAACCCCAGGCTTGTGATGACGCTGAGACCATGAAACCAGCCTTCCTTTGGCAGGGAGCCTGCTCTGTCCTTCACAAGCAGCACTATGCACTGCTACAGCCCCACACAGGTACTGCTTAGGCAAAAGCCTCATCAATATTTCAAGCTGAAGCCTGTAGCTCAAGCAGCAGCATTCAAGACCCTGATCAGATCAATGTCAAACAAAAGACTGCAGGATGAGGATGCTCCAGCAAGCGAGGCCCAGGCTGCAGGCTGGCAATGTCACCTCTCCTTCCCAACGCTGAGTATCTCTCCTCTGGCCCCAGTGAGCTGGGATGGCTCCAGCACCAGCCCATCCCATGGAGCTGCCCAAAGCAGAGTTTCCTCTTACAGCAGCATTTCCAGTTTCCAGCTGACTTCAGAAGTGGTGCTGTTACAATCCCCATTGCTTGCTTTGAATATTACTTTGCTTTAATGCCAGTCACTTAAGAACCAAACATCTGAGGCTCATACTGTGGGGTCATTGGTTCCAGCATCCCCACTCAGAGCAGATGCTCCAGAGTAGCAAGAAAACCATAATGCACTTAGCTAGTTTGACACTGCATGGGAGCAGGAGATCTTATTTCCCTCAGCTATAAATGTAACTAACTGATCAGAAGATAATCCACAGCCCTTTTGCAGTTCAGCCACGCTCCCGGGCTCCCTGCAAGGCTGAATTCAGCCCTAGCTTCCAAGACATCCATGAACATAAAGAAGTTGCCTCTTTTTAGCCCTCTTGGTTCTCTTGGATCACTTAATTATTATTCAGATGCCAGAGAATGGATGGGAAAATATCATATCAAGATAGAAACCAAAAAGAGAATCATTACATCTAACGGCTAAAATCAGGGATGAAACATCTTAGCTGACTTCAAGCAATTCTGTTAAACTACTGTCTCCTTTTCCTATCAATAAAATGGGATAAATTTATGTCCATTCCAGGGAAAATGGAGTGAGTGAGAGATTGAAATCCCTCAGCAAGCACCTACAGAAGGGTAAGAGCAGTCCTAGAGAGAAGTGCTTATTGGCAATACCAGCAAATGAAGCCTTTGCAAGCAATAGTGAGCAGGGGGAATTTGCTGGTTAATGCCATTATGGCTCTGGCAGACGTTTTCCCCCTCCCCTTCCTGCTGCCAATTGCACCAAATCACTCCCTGTTTTTCATCTCCCCCCAACAGAAGGGCACTGCATCGAATAACCCAGGAGGATGCTCACACTCACACCCTGGGCTTCAGGATACGGAGAAGGCAGACAAATCCTCCCCTCCAGAGCCAATGTTGAAAATCCATCTGCTCTCCATCCCCAGACAGAGACAGAAGGAATAGATACCAACATCTCCTCCATCCCTAAGGGAGATATATTAGCTGGTTATGTAATAAAACTAACAGCATGGTGCTTCCAAGGACTCCTGTGCCGACAAAGCCCTTCCCCTAATGCCACCGGAGATTAGAGCAAATCGAACAGGAGTGGAAGCAAGGCGAGGGGCTGCGGGTGAGGTTTGCACAGAGGAGATGCTGCAGCATCTGCCTTTAATGCACTCAAAATCCCATCTGATTTCCAACTCTGCTGCTAAAAAAATAGAAAGGGGAAAAAGAAAGGACAAAAGAAACAGCCCAGCCTGCATTAAAATGGTATTAATAGTGGGTGAGTGAGGTGGAGTGACTCAGGAAGGAGTGCTGTTCAGTGGAAGCATCCAGAGGAATCCAGACCATGAAAGCATTTTGGATGCAGACCAAAAGGAGGCAGGGGTGCAGATTTGCTAAAGGACTCTAACGTGCTTGGACAAATCTGATTAGTTGCTGGTTTTGAGCATCCAGGGTCAGATCCTTCCTTCAATAAACACACGTCACTTATCCCCCTCGTGCCGGGCTGCTGGAAAAGCAGAGCACAGCACTTCTCTCTCAGCATCAGATGCATTCCCAGCTCCGAGGACAGGGCTTTCACTTCATTTCTGCTCCCTCTTCAGGCTGGCTGACCCCACAGCAAGAGACATCAAGTTGAACACCCCAAGTAAAATTACTCTTCCTTCCACTTCCCTGGTTTTGCTGCAAATTAAATAGTGATGTTTTAAAATGATCACATGCCCTATGAGACGAGGATTTTGATGCAAGTCAAGCTCGAGGTCTCATCTGACAGACTCCTGCTTCACACGCAAAGAAGTCATGGCTCTGCTATCCGACTGCACATGCTTGTTCCCCCTTTGACAACTAGAGCTCAAACAGCCCCATCCTCAAGGTGACGTTTCCTTTTAATTTCACACTGTACATCCTTTTTGAGCTTATTTTGATATATTTCCATCCATTTAATCGAAATAACCAGTGAGTTTCATATCTGAACTCGGAAAGCACTTGGTAAAGGCATCAGGCAGAAGTACAGCACGACTGGAGGCAGTGGATGAGCATCTACTAGACACCGTTGTACATTCCAGTATCACCTCTTGAACTTACTGGTTTATCCACTACAAACTTAGTTTGAACAACTGCAAAAATCACCAGACTTGGCAGAAGAGACATCCAGGTAATAGGTGAAAAATGCTATATAGCATCCCTAGAACTAAGGTATTGACTGTGATGGCAAGATGGAAAACATAGCAGGAGGCAAACAACCTGATGTTGACAGAAGAGGGATGACTTGGAAGGTGTCACCCAAGCAGAAAACCAACAGTTGCTCCAGAGCAGCCATCAAACACACAAAAATAGCCTTGAGAAAGGAGGGGAATGAATGGGTAACAAAATGTTGGTCATACTCTCTGCCACTTCACAGTGAAGTGTTTTGGAGATGAGTTTAACATGGCACTGACTAGTTGCGTTGGTTGACCAAATCTGGTCCTCCCTGTGGTAGGCACTATATAGATGGAGTGTGGGGAGCAGTTTGCCCCTGAAAACTAAAGCTAAAGAGCAAGCTGGCAGAAGGAGGAAAAGAGCAAAGCCATCAGCATTATGGAAGTTAACAAGAGGTTAGTGCTACCATTTTGTTGTGAGACTGCAAGTCACAACCTAGTTAGTGACCACCTGCAGTGAGGCAGAACTATGTAACTAGCAAAAACTTGGTATTTCAAGTTAAAGAAAGGAAAACCCCTAGCTAAGAGCTCATTAAAACCCCAGAGAGAGTAAAAGCTTCCCAACAGCCTTACCATTGGCATCTTGGACTCCAGTAAGCGCTCCTACTGCTGCTGCTGTTTCACCAGACAGGACAATTTGTCCTCCCCCTTGAAGAGTGGCTTCAGCAAGCGTGGCTACTGCATGGGCGGCTGCTTCACTGCGGGCACAGGAAAGGAGGAAGAAGGGTTAGAAGACCAAACACAGAAATAACTCCACTCCAATAGCATCCATTTTACCCAGGCAATGTGTAAAGAGAACAAATCCAGAAAGGAGGAACTGGGATAGCCAGGCATTCTCAGGTTGCCCAGAGAAGCTGTGGCTGCCCCATCCCTGGCAGTGTTCAGGGCCAGGTTGGACACAGGGGCTTGGAGCAACCTGCTCTAGTGGAAGGTGTCCCTGCCCATGGCAGGGGGCTGGAGCTGGAGGAGCTTTAAGGTTCCTTCCAACCCAAACCATTCTATGATTCTTACTCTGCTCAGATGAAGTTATTCAGAGCAGCAAACCTATAGTAGGGGAGGAATATAAGGGAAGAAGCAGCTTCCACTGGCTTTTTCCAGCTTGCACATCTCTTATGTCAGAACATCCCTGCCTTCTTACCTTCACATCCTTTTACCTGGGACTTCACTAAAGCTTTCAGTCCATCCAAGTAGTTATATATACACCATGTTGCTCCTTCCTGCTTCTGGTTTCTGGTACAAAACTCACCCTTTTGGCACTGCCACATTCCAGGTCTCTATATATTTGAGAGCTCTCCCCTTCACTACTGCTTCTGCCAGATGACCTTGCACTGAAACAGGCCTTGAGCTTCACCAGGATCACATCATCAGCTTTCTACTTAGCTAAGATGGAGCACTTCTCCCCAGCTTAGCGCAGTATTGATAAAGTTCTCCATACAAATGAGGTCAGACTTTTAGGAAGGAGTGTGCATGATCCTTCCCTTCCTACACCTTCTCAGCTTCCATCAGTCAGTGGTGTATTGATTTCCTACATCAGAGACTGCATCTGGACCATCAGGTTTGATTTGTTTAATCCTGTTTGAAACCCATTTATACTTTCTACTTCCACAACATCCTGTAGCAATGAGTTCCGCATTTCATTAGATGCTGTGTGAAGAGAAAATGCACCATGGTACTCCAGAAAGCACTGTCTCAATCTGGCTGGGCAGCCTTTAACTCTGAGATTGTGAGAAACAGAGAATAACTGTGCCCTTTCTGTTCTCCTCATGATTTCATAGACTTCCAGTAATCTCTTTCACAAGCTGCAGAGCCACAGTGCGCTCCCTGTCCAAGGACTTTCTGGCTTCTGATCACTTTGCCCTTTCCAGACTTTTTCTAATGTAAGATATCTGTTTGAGGGGGGTGACCATTTCTCACACTATTCAAGATGCAGACACACTACGTGTTAGTTCTGGTGTCCTCAACATCAGAAGGACATGGAGCTGTTGGAGCAAGTCCAGAGGAGGCCACGAGGATGATCAGGGGCTGGAGCAGCACCCAGATGGAGACAGGCTGAGAACATTGGGGCTGTTCAGCCTGGAGATGAGAAGCTGTGTGGAGACCTCAGAGCAGCTTCCAGTGTCTGAAGGGGGCTACAAGGATGCTGGAGAGGGACTCTTCATCAGCAATTGTAGTGATAGGACAAGGGGTGATGGGTTCAAACTGAAACAGGGGAGGTTCAGGCTGGAGATAAGACAGAAGTTCTTCCCTGTGAGGGTGCTGAGGTGCTGGCACAGGGTGCCCAGAGAAGCTGTGGCTGCCCCATCCCTGGCAGTGTTCAGGGCCAGGCTGGACAGAGCCTTGAGCAACATGATCTAGTGTGAGGTGTCCCTGCCTGTGGCAGGGGGGTGGAACTGGATGATCTTAAGGTCCTTTCCAACCCAAACCAGCCTGGGATTCTATGATTCTATGAGTTAGTCCAGGGGCCTCATCCCACCTTCTTCTCTATACCTTTCCCTAGAATTCCTATTATTCAGCTTACTCTTTTGACAATACTTATTCATCAGTGACAAAACATTCCTGCAGGATAGTCCCCTGAATGCTTTCTGAATGGTCACTTGCAGCATATAGCTCCTTATTGGAGATACATGTATGTGCATCACTTGCCGTTTATTGACATCACATTTCATTTCCCATTTAGATGCATCATCAGAGTGCTGTGAGCATCCTTCAGCAGCAATCCAGAATTCTCCAGACCTGTTGGATGACTATTCACCACTTCTGGTGACCTGCTGCTAGCCACAAAGTTATTCCAAAGCCATCATCTCCCTGCAGCTGAATCTCCTACCATTTCTTACCTGAATGAACTAAAAAAGGAGGTGTTTTCTTTAGCTTCCCCTAGGATGCTCTTCCTTAACTCATTCCCTGGTAGACCAATTGACTCAAATATTTTCCAAGTACTTCCCACTCTTTTTCCCCTGGTTTCCTGCTTAGATGCTGTTCACATTCTAAGTGTATTCACTCAGGGTGTATTTTCATTTCTGTCTCTCACAGTAGCTCTTACACACTGTTAGTGAACCGGAATATTTTCTTGCTCTGCTTTCTTACTCCCTTTGGATAATCTCCCTAGTGAACCTGCAGCTGTATGAAGGCATTTACACTGCAGGAAGTCCAACCCCAGCACAGCAACTCTGGGGTAAGCATGCATTTACTGGTGGAACCCTGTTTCCCAGACCCACAGCACTTAGCTGAATCCACCTGCAAGGACAACTGAGCACTTTAATCATCTGGTACAGCTGCATCCCTGGAAATAATAATGATGTGCAGCATAAAAGCTTTTTCCAGTCAGTGTGTTCCACAGACATTAACTGGTTCAAATCAATGATTTAATTACCCACCTCAACTCTGTCCTCTTTACTAGAAGGCCTAATATATCCCATCCTCAAAGCTGACAGAGGTCGCATCATCCATCATGTCATGTTGCTGGTAGACGTACTACTCTGTGTGGGGCTGTGAAAGACTACACTCTATCAGCAGCCAATAGAACAAGGCTCAGAGATCACAGAATCATAGAATCAACTGGGTTGGAAAAGACCTTTAAGATCATCAAGTCAAACCATTACCCAGCACTGCCAAGGCCATCACTAAACCAGGTCACTGAGGGCCTCATCTATATGATGGCAGCTTTCAGCTAAATTAGGCATCAAGTTTCCAGAGCTGGGATGAGCCACCAGCTTTCAAAGACCAGAACCTTGCTGAGACCTTCCTACAGGCAGGGGAAAGACTCCAGTTCCACAGCTGGAAGCAACAAGGAGCATTTTGTGGCAAAGGTACATCTCATCCACATGGAAGGGTGTTGGAGGACAGTCACCTAGAAAGGTCTCCAGTACTTATGGTCAGTAGATAAAGAGGGTGACAACAAGCTAGCAAATTTAAACAGGACAGGCCAAGGGGAATGGCTTTAACCTGCCAGAGGGGAGACTCAGATGAGCTCTTAGGCAGAAGCTCTTCCCCGTGAGGGTGCTGAGGCGCTGGCACAGGGTGCCCAGAGAAGCTGTGGCTGCCCCATCCCTGGCAGTGTTCAAGGCCAGGTTGGACACAGGGGCTTGGAGCAAGCTGCTCTAGTGGAAGGTGTCCCTGCCTGTGGCAGGGGTTGGGACTGGATGAGCTTTAAGCTCCCTCCAACACAAACCAACCTGTGATTCTGTGATTCCCACTGCAGTGCTGCTACAACCTTTACATCACTCCTGAACTTCAGGCTGTTTGACCAGACTTGTCACAGAGCTTTTCTGGGTATAATGAAAGCTGATCCTGTCTTGAGGCACAGGAGAGATTAAATGAGTTGTTGAAGGCTCTTCCAGTCATATTTTCTAGGAGGCTCTTCTTAATTCTAACAACTCTTATTTTTCTTAATGATTCTGAATTTCTTCAGCTATTACTAGTGGAAGATCCTTGCCCATGGCAGGGTGCGGTGGACTAGGGCATCTTTAAGGTCCCTTCCAACCCAAACCATCCTCTGATTCTATAATGCAGGAAAAGGAAGAGCTCATTGAGACCTTAAGAGCTAAAACTATGAGCGATGGGATGAAATGAAAGTCACATTCCAGAAGACGTGGCTTTTCTTGCAACTCCATACCTAGTTACTTCAGCTGTTGTTCTTAGTGTCCTAAAAAGATCACTTGTTTTAAAAGGCAATTTTACAGTGAAGCTATTAGTAAAAAAGCCTATTTAACCAACCTTGCATTGTAGTGCAGAAAAGAACATATCTGATGGACCTGAATCTGGACCACAAACAGAAGGAACAGTTCTAGGTGTGTTTGTGATTCAGTGGCAACAGCAGTTTGGAAGCAAGCTGTTGAAAGTCCCAGAGTGGCTCCTTTAGCAATCTGTGTATCTCACAAGGTCCTGGAGCTTTACTCCAAGCATCAATGTGGACTTGGGCCTTCTCCTAACCCATGGCTGCTCAGTCAACAGCGCCTAGACCAGAATCTTGATTTGGATGAGGAAAATACTTTATCTACACTTCAATGTGAAACCTCCCACGCTGCTGGGGCTGATGCTGTGTTTCCTGCGGTCTTCCTGCTCTCTCAGGGTGATCTGTGGCATGCCACACAGCAGGCAAAGCTTAAGCAACTCACCAGAGCTGAGCACAGACACTGCTTCCTGCTGCATGGATTGTCGAGAACTATGCTGCAGACCTTGTACAACCAAAACTCTAACAGAGCTTGTTCCAAGATGAAGCAGCAGCATTACTACTGCAGCTTGTTCACCTTCTACTTCAGAAACACACTTGGGAGAAACCCCCAAACCACTGTCCTCTGGAGGAGGTTCTGATTTCTGAAGAGAGTCCATAGTGTCACACAACAGAGCAATTCAGCCTTAGCCTTTAGTAGGAACCATTAATAATACTGAGGGAGACCCAGAAAAACATAGTTCAGGTGCTGTTAGCACTTCATGACTCTTGCTTGCTTAGCAAACTCAGTTCTGTAACTGGACTCTTGATGTATGACTAAGTTTAGAGGATAAAGTTACTAGCCATCTTTTCCTATGCCAGGAAATTTCCATGTTAGTAGTGTTCTGTGGTTACAGCAGAAATCAGGAACTGTCTTGCAGACACCTGGACACTCACTGCCATAGGAATTTGCTAAGGAAAAGGGACACACTGGTCTTTGCACCATTAGAGTGAAAGCCTAGAAGGAAGTGTCATGCACGTGTGATTCTCAGCCATACCTGTTGAGTGCCATGGTAACAGTTGCTCCTTGCTGCATCTCCTGAGATGCTGCCACTGCTGCTTCCGCTAATGATGCCACCGCCTGCGTGGCCTCTGATGCCTGCGTCGTCTGGATCGTCATCTCACCCCCCTGTAGCGTGGCCCAGTTCTGCTCCACCTAAGGGGAAACCAAAAAGAGAGGCCCTAAGATTGGATTCACGCCATGAGCAAATGGCTGTGCCCTAAAGTGAAAGAGCCAGATAGTTTCAAGAGGTCTTTGCAGAATCCTGCACATGCTCTGACTTTGAGAGACAGGTAAAAGAAGGAGGAAGTTGGGATCCACCCGAGAACATCGCTGGGCACTACAGCCCTCAGCCCCCTCAGCCATGATAGCAAGTTTCTATAGATAGCCCATGATTTTAGTTTCTGCCCTCCATATGTCCAACAACAACTTTAAACATATGTTCAAACAAGAACTCTGCTTTTCTCGCACACATGGAAAGCACACCCAATAAACATCAGTGCAGCCCCTCACATCCCACAGACCCCTCTTATCCAGCCAAGTCCACAACAAAATGGGACAGCATTGACCACTGCTGTACTCTGATCACTGCCTGCCAGCCTGGGCACTTCAAGCAGTAACATGCCATGCTGGAATTCCAGCATGGATCATGTCCCACGGGAATGCACTTGCCTCACTGCTCCCATCCACTGTCATTCTGGGGAACAGTTCCTGTTCCCATTCAGGGTTTATCTGTACAGCAGTTGTGAACTCAGATGGGTTTGAGCCATACAGAATTTCTTTGTGCTGCAGCAATATACTTAATGAAAGAAGATGGCAGATGGGAAGTGCTCTGTTCATATATCTCAGGTACTTTCAATTCCCCTATCTCAAACCTTGATGTAGACAGTTACACATTACTTAAAGGTTCACTCAGTCTCAGTTGCTCATTTGCCCACATTTCTCCATTTGGGACTTGACAGCTCATGAGATAATGAATGTATGGCCCCAAAATCCACCACAATGTGAACTAGAAATACACACTGGACCAAGACAATTAAAGAAGTGGAGGATGAAGGTCCACCAGCTGACAAATCATCCTGCCTGCTTTGTAAGATGATCTTCTCCCACCCTCCCATCACTGTTCTCAGCCCCATAAATGGCTCAGGCTACTCACCATCCTGCTGAGACACACAAATAAGAATGCCACAGAAGGTGATGAAAAAATAAACCCCAAACTCAACTTGTTCAGATGGAGAAAGCTAAAAAGTCCATAGAGACAGAGCTGGCTTAAGGCTCGAGTAAATCTTGCTGCCTTTGGGCAAGAGAAGGGTTAGTCCCATCAGAAGATGGAGAGGGAGAGAGAACCTGTCGTGCTCTCACTCACATCTGCTATCACACACTCCTCAGCAGCTGCCAGTCTGGTTTTCCAGCACTTGGGCAGAAGCAAAGCTGGCGCTCGTCGAAGCTCTTTGGCCATCCCCAGCCGTCTGACGTTCAAGGCAACTGCTTCATTCTCCTGTGCCCAGAGCTGGCCCTGGGCGGAAGGATCCAAAGCAGGGAGGAAGCAGTGAGATAGTGCATTGCAAAAAAGGAGAAAGGCAGCTGATTTTAGAGAGGGCAACGTCTTTTAGGAGAGATGCAACCTAGCTGGAGTGCCCAGAGAGGAAGAACTGCAGGTGGTGAAGAACTCAAGACTTGAGTCAGATCGAGTTTGTGGTACTCATTAGCCATGCCAAAACCAAAGGGAAGTGAGCCCAAGATGGAAAAAGATACCCTTCCCACCGCCATGCACAAGAGGAACAGACATACATATTCTCAATACATGGCAACACACATTTGTATAATAAAGCAGATCTCCACTGTGACAAACCGTCCCCTGCAAAGATGCCTAAGCTGCTTTGGGAGGGAGTAAGGCCTGGAAAAGAAGCGGGGACTGTCCAGGCCCTTCTCCATACTAACACAAAGGTTGTGCTGCTGAGATATCAGTCAGCATCCCTGCTCCATGCTGCTTAGTGTCCTATAAACTCAGGGATTTACTCTGAGTTTCTTCATATGGCAAGAGACAGCAGGACAAAAACGCCTCTGGAGAGGCTGCCAGCAGGCTGTGGGTCTATCTCTGCAGAGAAATAGCACCCATCCCCAGAGCAAACTTACTGTTGCATCTTTATTTTGGCCAAGATATCCCTTAGATGTCCTGTTCACGTTAGGAATTGGATGCCTGGGTTGCTCTGATTCTTATTTGTGCCTTTTAAAACTTTCTTTCAGATCTGAAGAGATAAAACTGGTCCTTGAAAACCACCAAAGCAGCTGCAAAATGCTGCAAAATCACAGCCCCAGAGCCAAGCTTTCACTGGGGGGCTGAGGTGGAAGCAGACGCTGGAGCAGAGCAAAGCTGTTCTGTGCTGCCACCTGTCGCCATGAAAACCCATCCATGAGAGAGGACCAGACCTCACCGTCCAGCCAGGAATTCTGCTGTGCAGCCAAGGGACAGAAAGTGACCTGATGTAAAGAGGGGTTTGCAGGTAAAGAGGGTAAAATATAATAATAATAATCATCATCATAATCACAAAATCCCAGACTGGTTTGGGATGGAAGGGACCTTAAAGCTCATCCAGTTCCAACCCCTGCCACAGGCAGGGACACCTTCCACTAGAGCAGCTTGCTCCAAGCCCCTGTGTCCAACCTGGCCTTGAACACTGCCAGGGATGGGGCAGCCACAGCTTCTCTGGGCACCCTGTGCCAGCGCCTCAGCACCCTCACAGGGAAGAGCTTCTGCCTAAGAGCTCATCTCAGTCTCCCCTCTGGCAGGTTAAAGCCATTCCCCTTGGCCTGTCCCTACAGGCCCTTGTCCAAAGCCCCTCTCCAGCTTTCCTGGAGCCCCTGTAGGCACTGGGAGCTGCCTCTTAAATCTTAAAGAAATGTTTCTTAAACACAGAAAAATATTAAAAAAAAAGTGAAAACATAAATGCACGCAAATTTAGGAATCACAGTGAGGATCAAGTCCTTGACAGAAACAAGTCTGCCAAGTTGTAAAGCAGTGGAAGAAACTCTCCCAGTACACAGAACAGTAACTGCACCGTATCTCCTGTTGTCTCTGCACTACTCACATTTACACAGCCCTCTCCGGGATTTCCCTGCAAACCTCCCTAAAGCTGCAGCAAGGGAAGAGTCACATTTTATCCAGAGATCAGTGGCCAAAGATGCATAGGGACTGCCCACAACCAGGCCATATCCTTTGCTAACCACAGCCTCAGATTATCCCAGGCATCACTCCCAACCCTGATCTGACAAACAAGGATGTACAGCACACACAGAAGAAGAGCTATTCAAGATGAATACATGGATGTGTGTTTGTGTATGTCATTAAGCCTATCTGCTACAGCAGAGCTCACAAATTATATCATCTATAGAAGATACATATATAAAATGTATAAAATTCAGAACTGAGGCTTGCACCATAGTTGCATTTGTACAGTCCTGACTCCAAGGGACCACAGTCCAGCTCTTTAACAGTCCCGTGTTTGTTAACACTGCAGGATGGGGAAGCAAGGTTTGGTGCTTTCTGTGACCCCTGAATTCCAGGAAATACTTCACTTCCCTGAAGTTCAAAGAGGGTAATTCTGTTTTGTGCCCCACAGACACAAGCCAGGTCCTTACCTCTCCATCAGCCACTGCAGAGTAATTCACTTGTGCGACGGTGACTGTGGTGGGCAGCTCTGAGGCATCAGCCAACGTGGCAACTGTGGCACCGGTGCCAACCTATGGGAGTCAACAAAATGCAGCGAATACATTTGTTATTGAAGGAAAATGTCCACATGATTCAGGCAAAGGGACACTCAAATGTTCTCAGATTCAAAAGCATCACATCTACAGGGAGTATGATCTGAGTAATAATTGCAGAGCTCATGGAAAATATGGGGCTGTCTCAAAGGGCTGGGGGAGGAAATCATGGAATGGTTTGGGTTGGAAAGGACCTCAAGATCATACAGTTCCAACCCCCTGCCACGGGCAGGGACACCTTCCACTAGAGCAGCTTGCTCCAAGCCCCTCTGTCCAACCTGGCCTTGAACACTGCCAGGGATGGGGCAGCCACAGCTTCTCTGGGCACCCTGTGCCAGCGCCTCAGCACCCTCACAGGGAAGAACTTTTCCTTATCTCCAACCCGAACTTCCCCTGTTTCAGTTTGAACCCATCATCCCTTGTCCTATCACTACAGTCCCTGATGAAGAGTCCCTCTCCAGCATCCTTGTAGCCCCCTTCAGATACTGGAAGCTGCTCCGAGGTCTCCACACAGCTTCTCTTCTCCAGGCTGAACAGCCCCAACATTCTCAGCCTGTCTCCATACGAGAGGTGCTCCAGCCCCTGATCATCCTCGTGGCCTCCTCTGGACTTGCTCCAACAGTTCCATGTCCTTCTTATGCTGAGGACACCAGCACAGCACACAGTGCTGCAAGTGGGGTCTCCCTGGATTGCATCAGAGGGGCAGGCTGCTGCTCACGCTCTGGTGGTGCAGCCCAGCATACAGGGGGGTCTGGGTTTAAGCGCACACTGAAGCCAGGTCATGGGGAGCTTCTCACCCAACACCAGAAGTGCTTCTCTGTCCAACCGGTAGCTATGCTTGGAATTGCCCCCACCCAGGTGGAGGAATCACTGGAGCCATGCTAATCTATAGCAGTTGCACAGTGGATATGGCCCACAAGCAAGTTTCGCACAACCCTTGTGCTGTCCCTTATGCTTATGTAGGAGACAAATCCTCACTATTCTCCCATTCTCCTTCTTACAGGGACCAGCAATAGGACACTGCTGTCATTCCCAGGTGTGAACATGATGCGTTGGTGGAGACAGGATGCTTCTCCTATGGAGTGGGAGTTACTTAAACCACTGAGTAGTCCTGGCTCAGAACACCCTGCACATCAGCCCTCATTTATAACTCTCCTTCCTTACCATACACTGGGTCTCTCATCTCCAGGCACTTGTCAAACATTAGCACATGCTCAATACCCCACTGCCTTTGGAAATTACCTTTTTCCCCATTTAACAGCTGGGAAAGGACAAAGGCAGGGAGGTGTAGCTTTGTTTCTAAGGAGAACTAAACCTATAAATGCCAGAAATTCAATGGTTTCAGGTGCCCAGCATCTAAAAGAACACCAGTCAAAGGGAAAACATGTGTTAGCAGGTGAGCAAACAGAACCAGCTTGGCAAGTCTGCCTGGCCTTGGTGGGAGAACAGAAAGCTTAAGAACTGCTGACAAGCTTTCATTTGAGAAAACAAACAAGACCAAAACAAAGCCCCACACCATGGGTTTTATCTTCAGGGTTGTGAGAAGAGACCTTTAGACATCACTAAAACCATGATGCTCAAGAGGGACAGAGTGCTGGGACAGCTGGGTACCAGAGGGCAGTGGTGGTTTGTAGGCAGGGGCACAGGGGGAGCTGAGGTTCAAATCTGACATCCACAAGGGGCTCTTGGGAGGTTTCAAGGGAGTACTTCAGTTTTTAACACCCTGAGCTGCCAGAACCTGCCTCCCCACACTGGGGACACTGGGAAAACAGCAGCACCACTGAGCCCCTGGCTGAACGCAGTCTCTTCAGCCCTGAATCCCCTTCTCTAAAATGGTTTAAGAGGCATCTTTACCACAGAGGATCACAGAATCATAGGAATAAGAATCCTAAGACAAATATATATTCAGTGTGTGTAATATATATATTATTATACTTTAGGTGTAAGATGAGGATCAGAGGGTACAAAAATACTTAATAACATAGATTAAGCTGTTTCATGCCATTAGAGAAAGGCAGTCCCACCACCTCTCCTCCCATCACTCCCTCCCATTGCCAGCACAGGCCTTGTGTGGCCACATCATGAATTGTATTTGTTCATAAATGAGTTAATTAAACTCAGGTCAACTCCCTGAATCACTTGCCCAAATAGCTGCAGGAATCCTTGTGCTGCCGTAAGAGAAGACCAAGAGATGGGAATGGGGAAGAGAGGATGAGGCTGCTGCTTTGGGTGGGAGTACTGGTTTAACAAGCCTGAGGGCTGAGACATACAGATAAAGACAACAATCTTGAAGGACAAATTAAGCTACCAAAAGGAGTTTGCTCCAAACCACCTCCCTGATGCAGACAACTCAATCTCAATTCAGTTGTGTTGGAAATGGCAAAACCAGAGGGTTTCACTCACCTGGATGAGGGACACGGTGCCATCAGGGTTACTGAAGGTTTGTACCACTGTCTGTGATGGCACAAGGTGTGCTATACTATGTGTGGTCGTCGTCTGCTGCTGTGTCTGCTGATCCTCAAAGGCATAGAGCAGGTCCTCACGCCCGTGCTGCTTGTAGCAGTTCTTCACAATTGTCCGTAGTGCCTGGGTCCATGATACCTGCCAGGAGAGTGAGAGGGTGAAGAGACTGTGTAAGAAAGCTTTCTGAGGCACTGCAGGGCTGTTACGGCCATGACCTGTGTGCTTATCATAGAATCAACCAGGGGGGAAAAGACTTAAGATCAAGTCCAACCACTCCCCAGCCCTGCCAAGGCCACCACTAACCCATGGCACTGAGGCCTCGTCTCCACGCTGTGTGAACACTTGCAGGGACGGTGACTGCAGCCCTGCCCTGGGCAGCCTGTTCCAATGCCTGAGCACCCTCTGGGGAAGGAATTGTTCCTCAGCTCCATCTAAACCTGCCCTGGTGCAGCTTGAGGCCGTTTCCTCTTGTCCCATCCCTTGTTCCTTGGGAGCAGAGCCCAGCCCCTCCTGGCTCCATCCTCCTCTCAGGCAGTTGGAGGGAGCCATCAGGTCCCCCCTGAGCCTTCTCTTCTCCAGACTGAACCCCCCAGGTCCCTCAGCCCTTGCCCATCACACTTGTGCTCCAGGCCCTGCACCAGCTCCGCTGCCCTTCTCTGGCCCCACTCCAGCACCTCAATGTCTCTCTTGCAGTGAGGGGCCCAGAGCTGAACACAGGATTCAAGGTGCAGCCTCACCAGTGCCCAGTGCAGGGGCACAGTCATTGCCCTGGCCCTGCTGCCGCACTGGTGCTGGTACAGGCCAGGATGCTGGTGGCTTCCTGGCTGCCTGGCCACAAGCTGCTCACGTTCAGCTCCATCATTCAGCACCCCTAGGTCCTTTTCCACCAATCAGCTTTCCAGCCACTCTTCTCCAAGCCTGGAGCAACAGGCTGCAGATGAACACCTACTGGGTTTTCTCGGGCCATTTTCAACAAATTCTCTAACAAAACGCCCCAATACCTAATCCCTCTCATCCCCTCCTTTCCCCAAGATTCGGAAATCACCCTGGAGAGCTCTTGTGTTGCTGTGTAATGATACAGAACAAGCACATCTGGCTAAGGGAAAGGGAAGCTTCGCAAAGAAATGTCTCACCAGCTTTCAAGGAATTCTAACCAAGGTACTGGGACTGAGAAGTAGAAAATCATCTCTACTTAGAAAAGCACTGATTGCCACAGCACCATTTCCAGCCTCACCAGGCATCCCTCCCCATCCAAGCAGACCTATATTAACAAATCATTGAATCACAAGTTGGTTTGGCTTAGATGAGCTTCAATGTCCCTTCCAACCCAGACCATTCTGTGATCCTATGAAAGGCCAATGTTGTAGCTTCTTCTGTCACTCGAGGGGCGAAGTATTCCCACACAACCTGGTTCCAAGCCTCTGTGCTCCATTTGAAGGCAGCAGATGTGGCAGATACACACCCGCTGCTTCTGTTCCTCTGTGCGGACATCACTGCGGACGTTGGCCCATGGGATGTCCTCAGGCCACCAGATGGGTTTGCAGCTTTCCTTGCCCCAGCCTGGTTTCCCACGACCTGTGGAATACTTCAGCATCTCAGGGATGAAAGCTCGTAGCTGTGCCTGGAACAAAGCGTAAAAGACTGTTGAGAGGGTGTTTTTAGGAACTCGTATCTCTGGTAGGCTTAAGGTGCGTAGAGAAAGTTATTACATTTAACTTCCAGCCTGTTGGAACCATCAACTGGAAAGAGGCCTGAATGCCTAAAGAACATGGACAAATACTTTACCATCTTCTCCCAAGACTCAGCTGAGAACAGCTTAGAGCAGAAACACAATTAAATCAGCCAAATACGATACGGCACAAACACAAACTGCATGAGCACAGTTCATGGACAAACACTACCATGAGGAGACCTTGCCAACCTGAAAGGGAGGGGAAAAATGTAAATCCAAATAACACAGAGAAAAACCCACACTTGATATCCCCACAGTGACAGGAACTCAGAGTTGAGCTGATGGGCGTCTTACAGAGATGCTGCAATGGTGGTGGAGCTTTGGGGAGCCACTAAAAACCAACCTCACACATAACTTCTCCACCCCTGCAGAACATAATGCACACTGGATTGACTTTCTGCATCTATTTGTAACCATTCTGGAGTGGGGACACTTTTCAACCTGATTTTGCTTCTCTTTAGCACCCACAAAAACTGCTCAACTAGTGACCACCTGCACCAGCAGGAGACAATACCTTAAAATAGATGCACAAAGCAAATCAAGCAGAGTAAGTAATATCCTCAGTGTTATCAAAGAGAACATGAAGCTCACACAGGGGTTTATGAGACAGGGGGGTTTGTACCAGGGAATGCCAGGACAAGGCTGGTTCAGCTGCAGAACACAGCAGCAGGAAGACAAGGAGCACTCAAGACCAAATCATAGCATCAGCTATGTTGGGAAAACCTTTAAGATCATCAAATCCAAATACATCAGAGAAAACTATGTTGACTTAAAGCTGAATAGCTGCATTTAAGAACATCCCCCTGCATCTCTTCATGGCTTTAATAGCAAATTACTTGAACTGGTGATGGTGGCACTGGGAGTCCTCAGGCCACCTTACAACCTGGAGCTGCCTGCATGTTCATGGCTCTGGAGCACAGCCATGCATGAGCACGCCAGGGCCAGCATCAGTTGTTGCCACAGCCATGACATGGTCCCAGCCAGCAGAGACATGGGGCAGCTCATGGAGGACTTCTCACCCATCCCTGATCTTCTGTCATAAGAGTGTCCCTTCCTCCCAGACACAATCCTGCTTGAATGACATCCTGGTTCCAGTCTGGATATTGCAACCACTGGCTTCAAGCTGAAAATCAACTCATGTACAAACTGCCTTTTCATGTTAGTACAGGGGGCATGTACAAAGTCCCCTGTAACATCAGTCTGACAGAGGAATGCTCCAGAGGAACAGGAAACTGCAGATTGTCCCTGGGGTCTCTGCAAAGAAGGACAATAAGGCAATAAAAGGACACTAAAGGCAATAAAAATCCAGTGTGCTTCTGGGTCCATATATAGCATATGTGCTGCTCACCATAGAAGAATCACTCCTGCTCAGCAGCTATATTTTATTCCTACTTAATGGACATGCTGAACCATCTCACAGAAGCCATACCAAAACCCTGAATTATAAATGGAAGCACAAAAAAAGCCCATTTTGGTGCCCATTTGCCCAGTCCAGGCCAAACCTATCCACGGTGCACTTTCCACTGCAGGGCCAATAGTCATAGAATCACAGAATCCCAGACTGGTTTGTGTTGGAAGCGACCTTAAAGCTCATCCAGCTCCAACCCCTGCCACGGGCAGGGACACCTTCCACTAGAGCAGCTTGCTCCAAGCCCCTGTGTCCAACCTGGCCTTGAACACTGCCAGGGATGGGGCAGCCACAGCTTCTCTGGGCACCCTGTGCCAGTGCCTCAGCACCCTCACAGGGAAGAGCTTCTGCCTAAGAGCTCATCTCAGTCTCCCCTCTGGCAGGTTAAAGCCATTCCCCTTGGCCTGTCCCTACAGGCCCTTGTCCAAAGCCCCTCTCCAGCTTTCCTGCAGCCCCTTTAGGCACTGGAGCTGCTCTAAGGTCTCCCCTTCAGGAGCCTTCTCTTCTCCAGGCTGACCCAGCCCAGCTCTCTCAGCCTGGCTCCAGAGCAGAGCTGCTCCAGCCCTCGCAGCATCTCCATGGCCTCCTCTGCACTCGCTCCAACAGCTCCACGTCCCTCTTGTGCTGCTGCCCCAGAGCTGGATCAGGACTGCAGGGGGGAGTCACCTGAGGTTCCCTGGTTGAGGCCCCATTATCCATACAACCCTGCTCCTGGCACTGAGTTTTCTGGTGCAAAAATAGTTAAAAGCTCCTTCCCTGGATCACTGTGTACAAGCCACGCTCCTTGTTACCAGCTGGATTAATCACTGGTCCCAGGGAGTTGAGCAGCTCAAGCTACTCAAGGCACTTGTTAAGGAGGACTTGCCACTAATCCACCAGGGAGACAATCAGCAGCAGCATCACAGCCTGCTCCAGCACCAGCATTTCTCTAATTAGGGCCCTAACAAAACCTCACCCTCACAGGGCTCTGACACAGGGAATGGCACAAGGACAAAGACCACACATCCCTCAGGACACAGTGGGAGGAACTGCTGTGACCAGGAACCACGGTTCTGCTGACTCCATCTATGAACCACCCCAAAATCAAATCTCTGCTAAGAAAAGACAGCAGCACATTCTACTTCCCACAGCTGGCAGCTCTGGAAAGGGCCCGTATAATCGCCAGTATGGATGGTTTGAGAGAAGCTATAAGCACTGATTCTTTCTCACCCTTTGGTACACAGACTGAGTATCTCCTAAATTCTAACATCAAGCTCAAGTGCTACTGAGCTAATCCTGATTCTACCATTTGCACTAGCCCAAACTGCACTCTAGTGCTGGAAACAAGCTGTCCTGCACTCAGAGCATCAAGCAATCCTCTGGTCTCAAGGTTTATGCCCTGCTACGGGAAGTGGTTTCTAGAAGGGAGCAAAACCTGTGGCTGTAGATTTGTTACCTTTGCCCATAGTTCAGCCTCAGGATCTCCAAAAAGCAGCACATGGGAAAAGCAAAGTCCAGTCCACGTGGGAAGAGGAAAGTGGAAGAGGTCAAAGCAGCAATTACAGCAAAGCACCAAGGTATTTCCTTCATGGTCCCCTCTTTTTGCAACAGCCAATTTGAGACTAAATGTTAAGCTGAAAAATTCCAATTAATGTTTAAACACTCAGATTAAAAATCCAGGCTTCTGTTAAGGTGGCTGTCACCAGGAATTTCCTGCTATGAGAACCCACATGGCCCTGATGGAACTCAGAGGTCTCACTGGTGGGATGAGAATGATCTCCCCATCATAAATTCATTCCAGCGAAGATAAGGTGCAGGATCAGCCTGCATGTCTTTAATCAGAAGCAATGGCACTCAGCAGAATAGTTTATGCCTGGCCATAGGACTCAAACCCAATATTAATATCCTGGTCACCAGTGCAAAAGCAGGAGGTGCTGTGGGGCTCCCCATAGACGTGTCTGCTCACAGCTTCACTCTCTATGCAAATCTTTCTTCTCTTCCACTCCAAAACCATGATCAGGCTGTTAGAATGAGACCACCTGAAATGTTTCAGAGGGGCATGCTTGGGGACCAGGCTGTGGGATCACCACCTCCTAGTAGAGTTTGGAGGTATGAACCTGGACATGACTGGTCTTGCTGGAAACAAGGCATGATGCAGACTGAGCTTAAATGCTGTAAGAGCAGGCAGCTGCCTGCATGAGAGTTCAAAGTACACACTCATCCCTGCTTCCAGGACCTTGCAGGACTCACTGCCCTTTCCACTGCTGGAACAACCATCCAGTGCTGGAGCTCAGCTGTGCGGCAAACCTGATTCCTAACTCTGGGTGCCTCCACTGAAAAACAAGGATGCTCCTTCTGCCACAGGCCAATGCCCTGCCGGGAGAGTGGAAACAGAGGCTGTTCTCACATCACACCTCTGATGTGGAGCAGAAGGGAGCACCAGTAAGCCTCATGCCTGGGCAATGGGTCCAGCACTGCAAGATCATCCCTGCCCCACCACAGAGAGAATCTGATAGCCACAGACCAAGTTGCCACCTTTCAATGCTTGGCTTCTCCTAAATACAAACTGCCACATGCTGGGTTTTGCAGGTTTTTGCAGTCCGTATGCAAACAGACATCAAGATGATTTCTGAGAGGCCTGGATAAACTTTGTTGGCCTTTATAAGCAGACTGCAAGTAATAGGGGCATATTAAGTCTATAAAACATCAGATTAAAGCAACAATCACCTGTTCAGAATACAAATCCTAGTGAATTTCAATCCAGATAGTGACCTCAGTGAAGCATTAATCTCAGCATTACCCAGACTTTCTCCTTAGTTATATCAGTGAGCAACTCAGAACAAGTTTAGGGGCAAACTCAGCTCTGACATAGCGTGTCAATGTGGCCAAAGCCCATAAAGCAACAAGATTTCTCTGCAGGGGAAAACCCCATTGCAACACATTGGTTTTGATGCACAACCAAGGTGGGTGATTCTCTCTACTCACAATATAGAAGCATCTTTGCTCCGGCTACCAAAGGCTTTATTTTCCTCAAGACCTCCAGGGAAGCAGAGCAATTAGAAAAGTTATTTTCCTCTCCTCACTGAGGAGGTAACACCTCTACCAACTGCAGCTCCTGTAAGCAGAGGCCTCATGTTTCCACTCCCTGTGACACAGCTCCTAATTGTGCTGCCCAATTTATATCTATACACATTTCAGTTTTCCATTGGGTTCGTGGGTTGAAAAAGCTCCTTCCTTGTTACAAAAGACAAAGAAACTATAGTGGCAGCTCTGGGAATCAAGGTGCCTCCAAAAACCTAATGGCACCTCTAGCAGTGCAACAGGTTGCAGTGATGTAGGAGTCAGAGTTCTTCTCTTACACTTGCTCAAATGAACGTATCTCAAATTGCAGTTGTGGCAAAAAAAGCAGACAGCATCATGTCCTCATTGTATTCAGCACATCTGTGCTTTGCTCTATTCAAAGATTCTCCCCAAGTCTGTCAAAACTAAGCAGCTGGATGCTTTCAGCAGCAAAATCATCTCCAAGCACCACATGCAGCATCTTACTCCTTGATGTAATCCACGCAGGAGTCTGCAGTCCTGAGCGTTAATTCTAATGCTGTGTCCTCAAGTGGCCTGCAGCCATTTAAGGACCTCAAAAAACATTAAAGACATTTACAAAGCAGCATCTCTCTATGATAAGTGGGGAAACTGAGGCACTGGGTGCCCACAACATGTGCACATCACAGTGGCTGGGCTGAGGCAGTGACAGCTAGCCAAATGGGACACAAAGAGCATGGACCCTGTCCACAGCTCAGGCGAAACCTTAACAAAGCTGCTTGGAGTTACCACGTTGTAACAAAAAGGTGAGGACTACTCCTGAAAAGATAACTTGGGTTGCCATAATGCAGCATGGGATGGCTTGAAATAAGAGGCTCTACGTTGCTGTTGCTTCAGCAGTTTGCATGCTTGCTGACCAAAGGGCATGCAGAGCACAGAGAAGAAAAGACATTCCTCGTTTAACAGAGGCACAAGAAGGCTGACAACACAGGAGTGTTGTGTATAAGGGTGGGGGGGGAAAGCCCTGCCAGCAGCTTGTGCCTTGGACTGGAGAGCTGCTTCACATGTGGAAAGGCAGAGCAGTCAAAACCCAAGGGCAGCTTGGCTTGGCCAGATCTCTGTGTAAGGCTTCCTGAAGACCAAGGCCATGTTATGCTTGCAGGAAAATATCCCAGGGACTCTTCATCAGGGCCTGTAGCAATAGGACAAGGGGTGATGGGTTCAAACTGAAACAGGGGAAGTTCAGGTTGGAGATAAGGAAGAAGCTCTTCCCTGTGAGGGAGCTGAGGCGCTGACACAGGATGCCCAGAGAAGTGGTAAATGCTCCATCCCTGGCAGTGTTCAAGGCCAGGTTGGACAAAGCCTTGGGTGACATGGTTCAGTGTGAGGCATCCCTGCCCGTGGCAGGGGGTTGGAACTGGATGATCTTAAGGTCCTTTCCAACCCAAACCATTCTGTGCTTCTATCTCCAGCCTTATTTTTAGCTTAACATGAAAAGTATTAGTATTTTACCCATGGAATTCTATGGATACTAGTATTTTATCCATAAAATGGAAGCAGAAAACACTTCAGCAACCTTTGATGTTAAAATAGTTAATATCCAAGTGTATCACAAAAACCAAACACCATGCACTATAAATCCAGCTGAAGGCTCCTGTGAAGTGAGAGTTTGTCACTTTTATTGCTGCTTTCATGGCATGTGCAACACGAGCAGCCAAACATTTGATAGATCTTTTTACTGGCCCTTTTATATGCACACACATTCTGCACAGGGCAAACCAGAGAAGTTTCTCAGATGTGTTCCTGGATTGCAACCACCCCACGTCCTGCTCTCATTCCTCCACACTCACTTCTCTCTCATTTCCAGCACTCCACCAGCATCAGCTCATTGTCTTTGTGCCTTCCTCTGAGCCCACAAGCTGTGGGTATGGGTACCTCCAGCTTCACTACTCACATCACCCTATGATAGCCTTCAGCAAATCTCCACATAGATGTCTCCTTCTCCTTGCTTTAAGCCATAAGCACTTCTGCTGTTACTGAGCTTAATTACTACAATGATAAGGCCATAAAGAAGTTAGATAAACACAAGCATGCTGTTTGCCAATACAAATGAACTCAGATACATTCCTGTGATCTTTTGAGGCTCTGATTTTACTTTCAAAGTACAATTTTTCTAGTTTTTACTTTCCCATTTCCATAGGAAACTGTTAATGACACAAACCAAAAGCTGCCTGTGAACAGCTCTTGCAGACACCACCTTTAGCAATGGCTTAAAAATCCAGCAATTATGTTTTGCCTCATGCTGCCATGGATTAGGAACACGTTCTGTTACCAGTCAAGGCACAGTAGATTTCTTTGTGAAGTTTTATTAGAAGTGTGAGCTCGTCTGATTCCAACTCAATGGAAAAGATGTTGTGACCAGAACATGATCTTCTGCAGAGCACAGAGGAAATCCGCACATCTTTGCTCTACTACAACACCTCTTTGTACATTGTCCAAAGCCTCTGACCTTTCCATCTCACTACTCCCTCCAAAGGAACTAGCTTTCAATGTTTAAAATGAGTTGTGGTGTATCAGACTGAATGTACCCAGAGTCTCCTGCAAAGCACATCTGCCTCCATTCAGCTCCTGCACCCCAGGGGAAGGAGAATTCCCTACAGACAATCCCTCCCACACCAAGAAGGCTTCCCTAGGGGGTCCCCCTCCACTTTCTCCTAGCAATAAGGAGGTCAGCAAAGAGCTGAACGTGAAGAGAAAGAGAATCCCCCACATGCTTAGAGCAAATAATTCCTTGTCTTCATCAGAAGACTCTCACACAAGGTCTGATCTGGAGTTAAACCATCGTCAAGCTCCCCTCTGCCCCAGTCCACAGCAGAAAACAAAGCAGGGAATGAACTCGAGCGCACAAAAACGGTCCAAGGAGCATAAACCAAAACAGTTCTCCACCAGCAACCTTCCTGATCTCAGAGCCTAAAAATCACTGTGAAGTGCCAAATATCTTCCCTGTTCACAGCTTATGGGAGATGACAAAGAGGGAATCTCCCAGCAGCCTGATCTGCTTACCAGCATTTCTACTGTTTCATGTAGAAAATGAGTACCAGTAACAAAGCTTCCCATCTAACTACTATCTGAGCTGTTACATTCCCATGGGGAAGAGGAGATCAAATGCATCCCCTGGAGATGCAGACATAAGCTCCACTGCAAAATAACAGGATGTGGCTGCAAGATGCCAAATCTCTCTCTCTCTGGCTCTGCCATGCCTGGCCGCTTACCTGGGTCATCTTGTCCACCGAGACAGGAATGCCATCGATGGTGAGGGGTGGCAGCTCGGAGTTAACCTCCTGAGGCGCAGGAGCGTGTTCCGCTAGCGCAGACTCCAGGTCTTCCAGGATCATGCTCTTGTACTTGCGTACCTGTAGGGAATCATTAAGCTCAGGTAAACAAGGTAGGGAGCACCAGGAGAGGTGAGGGCGAGGATGCAGGGCCAGCCACCTTCCCCAAGGTGCTGTGGAACAGAAGGAGCAAACAAGAAGCTGGCAAGAAAAACATACCCACTGGCCCTGAGGACTCAGCTGTATTAAAGAGCTGCTGACGAAACATCGAGTAACACTGGCAAGTGAAAGTATTTAAGGGATTAAAAGTTCTGAAGCAAGAGTTATCATGGTCAGGATCCATTTACTTTCTGGTCTGCAACAAGGTGCAAGCACTGACAGCTGAGCTGAGCTCAAGCACATCATCACTATGGGCTCCTTCTGACTTTTAATCCAGGATATTCAGCCCTGGTGAGCTGAGCTGAGCAACCACTGATGCAGAGAAGTCAGGACCTCAGTGCTATCCTCATGTCCTTAGAATCTGAATTCCTGTTTCCAGGGTTTTAAACATGACTTTCAGATCCCTACCAGCCTTGCAAAGCTGCCTGGAGCAGAAAGAAACCTGCGGAGAAGGTGAACAACTTCTTACACAGCTTTTCCTAGAGACACCTACCACATTCTCCAAGGGTGCAGCACCGAATACTTTAAAGACAGGGTTGGGTTTGGAGGGTGAGATGCAGAGAACGATGGCCTGCTGCCCCACTCTGGTGGTGTACTCATCCAGCGTGGCTCGGAGCTTCCTGAAACACAGGCAGAAAGCCGTGAAACCAGCTGAAAGCCCTGCAGAAACACAACCCTTCACATTGTAAATTCCCTTTCTTAATGCTGCCCATTCAGAAACCAGGTGAGAAGTGGAACCCCAGATGGCCAGACCAGCCCCACATCCTGCTTATTCCTCCACTCCCGCAGGCCTGCTGTGTTCCCTGCAGTCACCAGCAGCTCAAATATCACTTATTCTCCTTTCTTTCCTTTTTCCATTGATGTAAAAAGGAAAACAAAATCAGCAGAGCAGCAAAGCCAGGACAGCAAGAGTCTTCATATCCCCTCTGTCACCAAAGGGTATTATACAAAACTTGGAAGAACTTAATGATTCAACAAAAGAGGACTACAAATAGAGGTTATTTCACATCAACCTTGTAACAGAGCACTGCAATTCTGTAGTACTAAAGTCCTGCTCAAACCAGGACCATCAGAATTCAACTACAGGACAGCCAAGAAGCAGAAATATTACAACAGCTCAGCACAGAAAACCCGAGTATTGAGACAGGAGCCATATCAGCAAGTCCCTTTGGAACGATCTCTCTGTAGGAAGAAAATGTTCCATCATATACTTTCTACCTCGTCTTCCCTTTAAAGCAATGGAAGAGAATGTGTCAGAAATACTGACAGAAACTCAAGAGAGAAGCAGAGTTTATCAACAGGTAACCTCAGCACTCCATGGTGACAGTGCAATATCGACCCTGGGACTTCAGAACCCGCTGTTTACAGCAGACCTGTTGCCAAGAAGCACCAACATCCGCTACAGAGATCCCAAAACCAGAAGCTGTAACTTCCCACTTGATTCAGTGGTGTAAAAATCAAGCAAAAATGTGCTAAACCAATCAGAGTGCAAAAAAAAACAACATGCATTTTGTCACTCTCTGAAATGTAGTCACACGAAGCAGTTGCACGAAGGGAGGAGAAAGAATTCCTTTACAGAGGAGTTTCTTTAAAACAATATTGTTCACAGTTCAAGAGAGAAAAGAATTTGCTCTTCAGAAAAGTTGCAATGAACACAGCTCAGTCAGCAAAGCTGGGAGAAGGAAGGAAAAGTAGAATAGAGCTATAAAAGAAAGGGAATCCGCTCCCAGGAAATATTTAACACTAGCTCTGTTCCACTTGGCTCCTGCTAGATCTGGTGCAGAGGGTGCTGTGGGACTCAGCAGAGGAGTAAGCAGAATAAGGAAACCAACTTAATTTCTCACTAAGAATTACAGGAGAGAGGGAAATAAGGCAAACCTCTGTCCAGCACTACTCCAGTGCATTTAGTGTACACACAAGAGGAAGTCAGCAAGAAACAGTGTCAAATACCCCTGCCTCCTCTAACATAACCCAGTTACATCCAAATCAGTTTAAAAGGCAAAACCTCCTTTGTTCCAAATCCTAGTAAATAATATCAACTGCTATTTGCAAGTGTTTCCTGATGGGTTAGCAGATGATGTCTCCAGACTTGCGGGAAGCATGTGTAGTCAACTCAGCACTGGCGCTCCTTGGTGGCCATCAGGCGGGCAGACAGCCTCAGAGCACCTGTAATGCAGCACCTGAAGAGCTGTGGAGGTTTGGTGTCTGCAGAGCAAGCTGCTGAAGCCAAAGGAAGTGTTTCAGCTCTGGCATGCATTTCCCCTTCATTATTCTCCCCCAAAACTGTGAACTAAAGGCTGGGTAAGACTTCAGTCTTAAGGGGAGACCTTAGAGCAGCTCCAGTGCCTAAAGGGGCTCCAGGAAAGCTGGAGAGGGGCTCTGGGCAAGGGCCTGTAGGGACAGGCCAAGGGGAATGGCTTTAACCTGCCAGAGGGGAGACTGAGATGAGCTCTTAGGCAGAAGCTCTTCCCTGTGAGGGTGCTGAGGCGCTGGCACAGGGTGCCCAGAGAAGCTGTGGCTGCCCCATCCCTGGCAGTGTTCAAGGCCAGGTTGGACACAGGGGCTTGGAGCAAGCTGCTCTAGTGGAAGGGGTCCCTGCCTGTGGCAGGGGGTTGGAACTGGATGGGCTTTAGGATCCCTTTCAACCCAAACCATTCCATGATACATTAGGTAGACAAGACCTTTGTGCCACTGCAGAGCTGGGATATGGCTGTAGCTCCAGATTCTCAGGCCAGCTGCTGTTAGGGCCACTGTGAACATCTTACAAGGCAACGTTACAATGACAGATTCACCTTGTGACCAACTGGGGTAAAACCAGAATGCTGGATCCCACCAGAATGCTCACGACAGTCCTAGTGATCATAACATCACACTGAAGATGAGCAGAGCTGCAACTTAACCGATTTCTTCAACAGAGATTTGGGTTGCAGAAAAGATGCCACCAAAAAACCCCAAGCTGGGCAACTTCTGGACAGCACTGGAGACAGACCAGGGATGCAGACCAAGGTGTCAGAGTGCAGGAGGAGCTCTTACCGTAGCAGACGTGTTTGCTGCCTCTTGCGGATGGATGGGTTGGACTCAAACATGTGTGGTCGCTTCCGTTTTTTACCTGTCGCCACAGCAGCGGCTGCTGCCATCCCCACAGGGCCTGGAAACCAAACCACAGAGGGTCAATCAGCACACTGGGCTCAGGAACTGGCCAGGAGGGACACTGCCATTGCTCCCCACGCAGGATGGGTCCCAAGGGATCAGCTTCAAGGGCCTCCCCATCAGACCAGGGTGATGTGAATTCCCTGCTGAATCCCTCCTCTCCAGCAGTATCACAGGTGTGTGTCAAAAGGCTCCATTCCCAAGACTGGCAAATCCCAGCTCAGTCCCAGGTGAAAGCCACATATGTCAGTCCAAAGAATCCCTTATAGTCATGTAATTATGTACTTTAACTTCCAAAGAGATGGAAAAACTCTCAAGTACATCAAGACTTCAAATAACTGACTGTAATTGAGGAGATTCCAGTAGCAAGGGAGAAGAGGCCAGGTAAAACACTATGAATCCTCTTGGACACAACTCCAGCATCAGGAGTCCAAAGCTTTCCCTAGGCATTAAATGCCAGTTCTAATAGGAAAGTACTGGTAATCCAGAGTTCCCAGCAGCATCCTACAACAGGCCCCTGAAGAATAGTGGGGACCACAGCAGGGCAGTGCTATTGCTTTTGTGATCAAACTCTGGACACAGACTCTATGGAAGGGGAAGTTTCCTTAAGTTAATTGGAAGTAAATCAAGTAACATGGAATGGGTTGTGCTTCTATCTGTGATGCCCAGAAACGAGTGCAGAGTCAGAATCAGAAAGCCCTGGGGTCTACTGCAGGCTCAAGGTCGTGCCTGTGACTCCTGAGCAGACCTCAGGCACTCTTTGTGTGGTTCCTCCATGTATCAGAGGTCAAAGATCACACCGGGCATCATAAAAGCACTCTGTGTTTAACAAAGATGCAGCTACTGGATCAGGAAGTCCTCAGCTAATGATTAGTGGAAGCTGGGAGATGATAACAAAAGTAGTGTCTGATGATACAAGTTCTCTAACCAACTGCTCTGGGAGACAGTACATGGACAGAGCTCTGGGTGACACTGCAGAGCCAGGTTTTGTTAATTCCTAACAAACTACCTGAGCACTACCATGGCCAGAACTGCTCCACACTGCTCCAAGGATCCTGTGCTTGGGAAAAATAGGATAAAATCGCTGTCATTTGGGGGACTGGAAGAACAGTTGCTCTGGAGAAGTGAGGAAAGGCCACACTGGGCTCTTGGGCAAGCTTTGGGCTGGACGTCAGTAGCTTGAGAGAGGATGCCTGCAACACCAGAGCGGAGCCGGGGGAGATCAGTGTCCAGGAGCCTCACCTCAGAGCAACAAGAGCCACCAAGGAGGGAGCCTCAAGTCCTCGACAGGGCTTGCCCAGGAGCCGGCAGCTCAGCTCAGCTCACGCGAGGAGCTGACTCACAGGGGCCAGGAGCAGTGGCACCAGCCCTGAGTGGGTAAAAACCTGCCCAGGGAGCGCGGCGGAGCAGTTTGCACGGGCAGGCGAGCAGGGTGACCGCCTGGTCAAGAGGAGGGACTGCTTGCTTGTGCGGAGAGACGTAGATGGACCGATGGCTCAGACAAATCATGGTCACAACACGATCAAAAGCTGTAGTGAGGAATAACATGGGTACCCAGACTGAGCCTTCCTGCAGACATGCAGCCGTGCAGGTCTCTGGCTGCAGTAAATGCCTGAGCCCGGCACTTGCAGTGGAGAGAGGCAGTGCCACCGCTTGTGTGCAGTGTGAGCAGATAAATGATCTGCTCGGGCAGGCAGCTCAACTGAGGGAGGAGGTAGAAAGGTTGAGAGCCATCAGAGAGTGTGAAAGTGAAATTGATTGGTGGAGCCATGCCCTAAGGCAAGGGCAGGGGGAAGTGGTTGAACAAGTGATGGATCCCCTTCCCTCCTACCATCAGATAGAAGGAGTGAACTTAAGGGACAAGGAGGTACGGAGGGAGGTCCCTCCTCGGAGGGGTAAGCAAAAACCCTCGCAGTCCCTTTCTCCCTCCCAGTTGCCCTTGAATAACAGGTACAAGGTCTTGGAACTACAGGGCCAGGTAAATGGAGATGGAGGGGTAGATCTATCTAGTGAGTCACCTAGGGCTTCTCACTCACCCCCATGCCTTAGAACTTCCTCAACCAAGAAGAAAAGAAGAGTAATTGTGGTGGGTGACTCCCTTCTGAGGGGAACAGAAGGGCCCATTTGTCCACCTGATCCATCCCACAGGGAAGTCTGCTGCCTACCTGGGGCTCAGATTGGAGATGTTAAAAGGAAACTCTCTGATCTGGTGCAGCCCTCTGACTACTATCCACTGCTGGTTTTTCAGGTTGGCAGTGATGAAATCATTACAAGGAGGGCAAGGGCAATGAAGAGATACTTCAGGGCCCTGGGACGGCTGGTTAGAGGGTCTGGAGCGCAAGTGGTGTTTGCCTCCATACCTGTTACAAGCAAGGGTGAAAAGATAAATAGGAAGAGTCTCCAGATTAATGTATGGCTACGTGACTGGTACCAAAGGCAGGGTTTTGGGTTTTTCAGTCACAGGCTGCTATATGAGACACTTGGTTTGCTGGTGGCAGGTGGGATACACCAGTCCCAGAGGGGGAAAAGGTTTTTGGGGCAGGAGTTAGCAGGACTCATTGACAGGGCTTTAAACTAGGTAGGAAGGGGGAAGGGGAGATAACTGGGCCTGTTGGGGACAAGCCCAAGAGAAACATGCTAGGGCTTGAAGGATGGCAGACGAGGGAGGACTCTCAATCTATTGTTTCATTTGAGGGAAAGGATAGTTGTTTAGACCCTCTCCTGCAGGGGAAAAAGGGTACTTGGGCAAGAGTTAGCAGAACTCACACACAGAGCTCTAGGTTAGATTCAAAGTGTGAGGGGGTTGTAGCTGGGTTTGAACTAGTGGGGCATTGTTCTAGTATGAATGAAGACCAGAAGGCCTCTCGCCTCCCAGGGGTGCCACTAGCGTGCTCTGCTCACTCCCTGAAATGCCTGCACACCAATGCACGCAGCATGGGGAATAAACAGGAGGAGTTAGAAGTCTGTGTGCGGTCTAAAGGTTATGACCTGGTGGCAATTACAGAGACATGGTGGGACAGCTCACGTGACTGGAATGTGGTCATGGATGGCTATGTCCTTGTTAGGAAACATTGGTCAGCAAAGCGAGGTGGTGGAGTTGCTCTTTATGTGAGAGAGAGACTAGAATGTATTGAGTTCTGTCCGGGGGCAGATGAGGAGCAAGTGGAAAGTCTGTGGGTGCGAATTAAGGGACAGGCTGGTACGGGTGATACAGTTGTGGGGGTCTATGACAGACCTCCTGATCAGGACAAAGGAGCTGATGAGGCTTTCTACCGGCAACTGAAAGCAGCCTCATGACTACATGCCTTGGTCCTCATGGGGGATTTTAACTACCCTGATATTTGCTGGAAGACTTACTCAGCCAGTCATTCACAGTCTAGGAGGTTCTTCCAGTGCATTGATGATAACTTCTCAATGCAAATGGTGGATAAACCAACTAGGAGAGGAGCGCTGCTGGATCTAGTACTCACCAACAAGGAGGGTATGGTTGAAGTGGTGATGGTCAGTGGCAGACTTGGCTGCAGTGACCATGAGATGGTGGAGTTTAGGATCCTGTGTGGGAGGAATAGAATACGTAGCAAGGCCACAATTCTGGATTTCCAAAGTGCCAACTTTGGCCTCTTCCCATGAGACTTCCCTTGGCAACTGATTGAAAGGGTACTAGGTGGTAAAGGGGCTCAAGATAGTTGGTCAGCATTCAAGGACCACTTCTTCGAAGCTCAGGATCAGAGTATTCCAATGGGTAGGAAGTCAATTAGGGGAGCCAGGAGACCAGCATGGTTAAACAAGGAACTGCTGGGCAAACTCATGCGGAAAAAGAGAATCTATGGATTATGGAAGGAGGGGCTGGCCACTTGGGAGGAATATAGGACAGTTGTTAGAGGATGTAGGGAGGCAATTAGGCCAGCTAAGGCCTCCTTGGAACTTAATCTTGCAAGTCAGGTTAAGGACAATAGAAAGGGCTTCTTCAAATACATAGCAGATAAAACTAACACAAGAGGCAATATAGGCCCACTGCTGAACGAGGTGGGTGCCCTGCAGACAGAGGATATAAAGAAGGCAGAGGTGCTGAATGCCTTCTCTGCCTCTGTCTTTACTCCTGCAGACTCTCCCCAGGGGACCCAGATTCCTATAGCCCCAGAAGGAGTCAGGATAAAGGAGGAGTTTGCTTTGGTGGATGAGGATTGGGTTAGGGATCAGTTAAGTAATCTGGACGTCTATAAATCGATGGGTCCGGATGGAATACACCCGTGGGTGCTGAGGGAGCTGGTGGAGGCCATTGCTGAGCCACTCTCCATCATCTTTGGTAAGCTGTGGGAAACAGGAGAGGTGCCTGAGGACTGGAGGATGGCAAATGCCACGCCAGTCTATAAGAAGGGCAAGAAGGAGGACCTGGGTAATTATAGACCGGTCAGCCTTACCTCCATCCCTGGAAAGGTGATGGAACAACTAATTCTTGACACCATCTCTAGGCATATCAAGGATGAGGGGGTCATTAAGAGCAGCCAACATGGCTTTACCAAGGGGAAGTCATGTTTGACCAACCTTATAGCCTTCTATGAGGAAGTAACTAGGTGGTTGGATGATGGTAGAGTGGTAGATGTGGTTTTTCTTGATTTCAGTAAGGCATTTGATACTGTCTTCCACAGCATCCTCACAGATAAGCTAAGGAAGTGTGGGCTGGATGATCAGGTAGTGAGATGGATCAAGAACTGGTTGAAAGGAAGAAGGCAGAGAGTTGTGGTCAATGGGGCAGAATCTAGCTGGAGGTCTGTGACTACTGGAGTCCCTCAGGGGTCGGTGTTGGGACCAGTGCTGTTTAATATTTTAATCAACAACCTGGATGAGGGAACTGAATGTACCCTCAGCAAGTTTGCTGATGATACTGAACTGGGAGGAGTGGCTGACACACCAGAGGGCTGTGTTGCCATTCAGCGAGACCTGGACAGGCTGGAGAGTTGGGCAGGGAGAAACTTGAAGAAATTCAACAAGGGCAAGTGTAGAGTCTTGCACCTGGGGAAGAATACCCCATGTAGCAGTACAGGTTGGGGGCTGACCTGCTGGACAGTAGTGAAGGGGAAAGGGACCTGGGGATCCTGGTGAATAGGAGGATGACCATGAGCCAGCAATGTGCCCTTGTGGCCAAGAAGGCCAATGGCATCCTAGGGTGCATTAGAAAGGGTGTGGTTAGTAGGTCAAGAGAGGTCCTCCTTCCCCTCTACTCTGCCTTGGTGAGGCAGCATCTGGAATATTGTGTCCAGTTCTGGGCCCCACAGTTCAAAAAGGACAGGGAATTGCTTGAAAGAGTCCAGCGCAGGGCTACAAAGATGATTAAGGGAATGGAACATCTCCCTTATGAGGAGAGGCTGAGGGAGCTGGGACTCTTTAGCTTGGAGAAGAGGAGACTGAGGGGTGACCTCATCGATGTTTATAAATATGTAAAGGGTGAGCGTCAGGATGATGGAGCTGGGTTTTTTTCAGTGATGTCCAGTGATAGGACAAGGGGCAATGGGTGTAGACTGGAGCATAGGAGGTTCCATGTGAACATCAGGAAAACTTTCTTTACTGTGAGAGTGACAGAGCACCGGAACAGGTTCCCCAGGGGGGTTGTGGAGTCTCCTACATTGGAGACATTCAAGGCCCACCTGGACAAGTTCCTGTGTGATGTACTCTAGGTTACCCTGCTCTTGCAGGGGGGTTGGACTAGATGATCTTTTGAGGTCCCTTTCAACCCTTGGGATTCTGTGATTCTGTGATGTGTCAGTGCCTGCCCTAGAGAAGTGAGGCAGCTCCTGTTATGGGCTGCCAACCTCTGGCCAGTGGCTGGAGGGGTACTGGACACCCCCTGCATATGGAGCCACCAGATGTGGCTCCTGCAAACACCACCCAAGCCTGAAAAGCTTGTGTGCTAGAAGAGAAGGGGAAAAGAATCCTACAGGAGCTGAGGTTTGAGAATTCCTAAGGAAAGGGATGCTCAGTGTGATGGTGGAACTCTGCAGGTTCAGTCAAGCACATCAAGAGCTCTGTTCAGCAGATAAAGTCTGATACAGAGTCAGGTCAGACCCTGAGTGTTTTATCACTGCATTTTTCTCCTAATGAGGTCGATCTGGTACAAGGCAAATGAGGAGGCCATTTGGCTTCACTGAAAGGAATTTGTGGTTCTGTAACGCTTTCCCAGTTCAGATATGCTGGGGACCCTTTGTAGCGTCTCCTTGAGAGAGGCCTTGCATGTGAATGTCATCTCCTTGGCTAAGCAAGATAGTGCAGCACTCCTGGGTTATTTTTGCTGTTGTTTATACAGGCTTGAAATAAGCTTGCTCTTTGACATACATTTTAGCTTCATTATTTGAGGCAGCACTTACCAAGGACCCTCCTTATTGCACAAACCAGTCTCTTATGCCTCTTCTTACACACAGATAAAGTGATGCAATATCGAAGCAGCTGGCAGGCCTTGTGAAGAAGGTCAATAAGCAAAGGCAATAAGGAGATATTCAGAACATCCCATGGGTGCAAGATCACCACCCACCTACAAGCGCTGTTTGCAACCTCTGTGAGGATAATCAGGGGCTGGAGCCTGACAGGCTGAGAACACTGGGGCTGTTCAGCCTGGAGATGAGAAGCTGTGTGGAGACCTCAAAGCAGCTTCCCATGTCTGAAGGGGGCTACAAGGATGCTGGAGAGGGACTCTTCATCAGGGACTGTAGTGATAGGACAAGGGGTGATGGGTTCAAAATGAAACAGGGGAAGTTCAGGTTGGAAATAAGGCAGAAGCTCTTCCCTGTGAGGGTCCTGAGGCGCTGGCACAGGGTGCCCAGAGAAGCTGTGGCTGCCCCATCCCTAGCAGTGTTCAGGGCCAGGTTGGACACAGGGGCTTGGAGCAAGCTGCTCTAGTGGAAGGAGTCCCTGCCTATGGCAGGGGGTTGGAACTGGAGGAGCTCTAAGGTCCCTTCCAACCCAAACCAGTCTGGGATTCTATGAATGCCATGTTAAATGAACAACAGTGATTGTACCTGCTGCAGCCAGGTGGGCAGTGACTTCGTCAGTAGCTGTGGAGTTGAGGATGTCAGAGTCATCGTAGGACGTGTCCTCTGGTGAAGATGGTGAGTCCTCATCTGCACTGAGCATGCTGTGCTCTGTGTAGGTGGCCACATGGACCTGTTGCACTTGCTGGGCCACCGCATGGGCCTCGATGGTGGCCATGTGCTCTGTTTGGGTCACCTCGTGTTCATCCATTAATAACCACTGTCAGAGGAGACAAAAGAAATCACAGGAAGGGGTTACTGACATCGAGGTAAGCATGGGCAGCCAAAGGTTTCTCAGCCAGCTGGGTAAGCAGGATGTGACCGCAAGGGAACAGAGATTACCTTCCCAAGTGACAGTGGTCTTTGACAGGGAAATAACAGCTACACCGTGAAGCAGAAGAGGAGCTTGAAGTGTATGGGTTTGAAAATTCCATACTTCCAAACAACATGGCACAGCACCCAGACAGTCATCTTTGCTGGAATGGATTCTGTACCCTGAGATGCGCCACTCACCCACTACATGTTCAGAGGTCTGATCAAAGCTGGAACTTCTTTTTGCCACTTCAGCTTTCTGGGCAGATGTGAAGTGTCCTGACCCGTGGCAGGGGATGGGAACTGGATAATCCTAAGGTCCTTTCCAACCAAAACTATTCTGTGATTCTAAGATGCTCGAGGGCGTTACGCAATCCCTGTCCTTCAACCTCAGTAGCTCAGAATATAAACAAGGATCCCAGAACAGAAGTTTAGTGGCAGCAAGTTGCATTCTGGAGGCCATTTTTGTTGTATTACTTATTTAGAGTCTGGAAGGAGGCAAAATCATTACAACCCAAGCGCAAACATTAGATAAAGCACATTTATTTCATGCATCTAGTGGTAAACCACTGAGCAAAGCAGCTGCTTACACACTGAGCAGGGCACTGGCCCACACGGCCTGAACATAAATCTGTGCAGAAGGAACAAGACAGGAGATACACGGATATTTTCAGTGTGTGGAAAAGGGACATCACATCCTGAAGATATTTTCAAACTACAGTAGAAGAATTAGGACATCAGCCAATCCCCAAACCCCCCCAGGACAAACAGCAGAAGGAAACACATGATCACCTGTAGAAAACACTAACATATACCCAGCAAATTCTCATCCTGTAAGTGCAGTCATAGAAATTAAAGCTCTTGATGACACCCTCTTCATGGAAACCTCTTCAGTTTGTCAGGAGGAAAGAGCTAGGAACATGGATACAGCCACAGAGTGGTCTCAGTACATGGCTGGGTAACTGCTCTATGGAGTCAGGCAAGCCATGTCATTAGCCTGGAGAAGGCTCCTGAAGGGGAGACCTTAGAGCAGCTCCAGTGCCTAAAGGGGCTGCAGGAAACCCAGAGAGGGGCTTTGGACAAGGGCCTGTAGGGCCAGGCCAAGGGGAATGGCTTTAACCTGCCAGAGGGGAGACTGAGACGAGCTCTTAGGCAGAAGCTCTTCCCTGTGAGGGTGCTGAGGCGCTGGCACAGGGTGCCCAGAGAAGCTGTGGCTGCCCCATCCCTGGCAGTGTTCAAGGCCAGGTTGGACACAGGGGCTTGGAGCAAGCTGCTCTAGTGGAAGGTGTCCCTGCCCGTGGCAGGTGCCTGGAACTGGAGGAGCTTTAAAGTCCCTTCCAATACAAACCAGTCTGAGATTCTATGATCCCACCATTGCCCCAGCAGCAAAGCACCCGTTATGCATCTGAAGGATCCACACTTGGATTTGAACAGGGATGCAGGCACAGGGGATGAAAGGAAAGTTGTTCTCGGTTAATTTCAGAGATGACCATTTATCATTCCAGAAAAAAAAAAAGAAAGTTTATTCCTGTTTTCCTTCAGACACCAGAACATTTTCAGGTGTAAGGAAACCCTAAAGGTATGATGATGCCTGCAAAGACATTTCCTGGTAGCTGCAGCTCAGTCCAGAAGCCCAGAAGGATTTTGAAGCCATTTAAACTGCTTAAAAAAATATGAGGATAAAGTCCTCTCATCACAAAGTGCAGTTGCCTCATGACCATGTCAGGGGTTCCTTTGATGTACTGTCAACTACAATCAATGGCTGTTGACACCATCGCTGGAAGAACACCAGACGCAGGAAGAACAAAGCTAAAGCAGCAGAAGCCAAACCATTCAAACCAGCAGAAAACAGAAACTGAAGAGAAAAGCCGTAAAATCTACATTAAATTTAAACCCACATGGATTAAAATGCAGTTTTTGTCTGCTCAGTGTAATCTGTGGTGTGACTGTAAAGAGATACAACTCAACCCGTACAAAACCACTGTAGAAACTGTCCTCTGTCATCGCCATCTGGTTTAATGTTGCTCACGGGTGCTTTAAACTGAGCCAAAAATATGAAGTCCACAGCAGAAAAAAGGATGAGGTTCATCAGCATGACTGGAAAAGCTCTTGCACAGACAGGGCCAGGGCTTATTTTTAACCTTTAGACCACTGAAGCGGTTTTAGTTCAGATGCTGTGGAAGACAAGACACTGCCCTCTGAGACAGGCTTAACTCGGAGACAAGCAGCACTCTGCTGGCATTGGAAATCACTCATCCAACATAATGCCCAATTCACCCAAACCCCTGCTCAGATGAGCAATGCATGAAAGAATCACTGGGTCTCACTTCCTCGGCAGTTTAAATGATGCAAATAGGAATTATCTGAATGAAGACAGAAGGAAAAGGGCTGAGATGCAGAACGGTTTGACAGAGACCTGCTCTGTGCTCTCCCATGCACACACACAGATCATTCCAGCCACGTGCTCAGATCCTTCCTGAGAGAGACCTGAGGGAATGCAGGGGCACAGGTTTTAAATGAAAAGAGGGGAGATTTAGATCAGACATAAGGAAGAAAGGCTTTATGGTTGGGATGGTGCCCCAGAAGCTGTGGCTGCCCCATCCCTGGTAGTATTCAAGGCCAGGCTGGACACAGGGTCTTGGAGCAACCTGCTCTAGTGGAAGGTGTCCCTGCCCGTGGCAAGGGTTGGAACTGGCTAAGCTTTAAGGTCCCTTCAACCCAAACCAGTCTGGGATTCTATGATTCTACCATTCTGAAAGGGGGTGCTAACAGGTAACAGCCTCGTCAGAATCCAAAACACCAAATATAAAGTTCTCCTGGCCAAGTTTTGCAACCAAACCTTCCTTCTTCTTGTGCCTTACAGACCTCACATGAGGAGCAAAGCCCTCCTACATAAGCCAACACCACACAGCCCAAGAAGTCACAGTGAAGAAAGGTGAGCTGTCCTTGTAAATAAAAAGCTTTGCATTTTCTTTGTAAATAACCCTGGTTGTCCAAATTCAGGCTTCATATTTTGATACCAGGAGTAACCACTATAAGCAGAACACAAGGGAAGAGCTCACCTGTATCCTGTAACAGCATCCACATAAAGATGAGGATGACATTGTATAACATACAAGAATTAGCTAAGCACCAATAGCAGATAGAGGCCAACTCACACAGCCTGTTCAGTGTGCTGTGGCACAACTTCTCCTAATCAAAGGTTTGGGGAAGAATGAAATCCCATCCCAGGCAGCTGCAGGGCACTGCTCCATTGGGGAACTACCCAATGTGTGATGAACATGCTGAGCTAATGCAGCAGCTCTGCCTTCTAGAGTGGATTATAAATGACAAAAGAGGAAGGACAGGGGACTAACAGATACACACAGTTCCTCAGAATCCACCTTATAAGTGGTCAGTGCCAGCAGTTAGGTTAACAGACACGTTAACCTTTCCAGCCGAGGGTACTGTCCCCAGCCTTGTTTCAGGCTGGTCAGGTCACCAACCTTCTCTTCCCAGTGATGAGGCTCAGGAGAAAGGCTGCATGACGTGACCCACCTATCATCCTCTGGAGAATTGCCTTTGAACTGATGAAAGGATGTTGAATTTAGATGGTACAGAAGCAAACCAGAGGCTATGGGAAGCCACAGTAACTACTGAGAGAGAGGTGATAAGCTTCCATCAGCTCATGTCTCTGAGAAAGGCCAGCCAGCCTTCCTCAAGCTCCTCCTTCCACCTAAACATCACTGGGGTCGGTACCTAAACATACAAAGGCACATGCAGAGGTCTAGGCTGGTATCCACAGAGACCCAGCTCTCCGCAGCATGGACGGGTTAAGAAGGAACAAACCAGCCTGTTAGCTAGTGATGGACCCACCAAAACACAAAGAGCAGGGCACTGATGAAGCCTCATGGCCTTCAAACACTCCCTTGTAGAGGTGACTTTATAATGGTGTTTTCTCCAACACAGTATGTATTCAGCATACTGTAAAGTAAGAAGAAAGGAAGAGACAAACCAGTGTGTGGTTGCTCAGTTGGCCCAGGGAATATCAGCTGTTCCTGGGGTTTCTTTATTTTTCCTGTTTCTTTCTAATTTGCCTTGCTTTTTAAATTAAATGAGTTAGAGGACGTATTTGAGAAGGCCAATTCTCAATATCCACTCTCCAGAATAATCCCTCTGGCTCATTTCCTAATTTGCTTCAAAGGAATGGAAACACTCCCAGTTTTTCCTTTTCCAGCCCATTTTCTGTTTGATCCTTCCACTGTAGACAGCACCAATTCCTTATTGACAACCCTGCTCCACACAGGAACTCAGCACGTAGCACTTTGCCTGGCACTAGACAGCAGTCTTGTGATCTGTGTAAAATAGAATCCCAGACTGGTTTGGGTTGGAAGGGACCTTAAAGCTCCTCCACCTCCAACCCCTGCCACGGGCAGGGACACCTCACGCTAGAGCAGCTTGCTCCAAGCCCCTGTGTCCAACCTGGCCTTGAACACTGCCAGGGATGGGGCAGCCACAGCTTCTCTGGGCACCCTGTGCCAGCACCTCAGCACCCTCACAGTAAGGAATTCCTTCCTTATATCCAACCTGAATCTCCCCTGTTTCAGTTTGAATGGAGTTTAAAAAAGAAAATAAAAGGGAACCAGAAATAACCTGTTCATCACTCAAGCTGGTCACCTTCCTCATGGTTTTAACGTCAATGAAATACTGCTCCATGTTCAGTGAGCTGAGTGTTCTCCAGAAAACAAGCAACACCTCCTCCCTTCCCTCCCCTCTTCTTGTGAAGCTGGCAAGCATCTGGAATTTAATGTGCCCTTAATGGATTCAAGCCTCTGCTGTAAATAAGTCCTTTGCTTTGCATTAAACCACCGGCATCACACTGGCACTTTTGTTCTTGTGGTGAGTTAATCAACGGGGCTCCTGTGATCCGGGTGTGTTAATCCTCAGGCAGCAGTTCCGTGGGCTGCAGGGTGGCTGCTGCCATCAGTCACCACTTCCTAAGCCCTTTCTTGCAGCTCTCCAGTGGTGTTCAGCTGCGCAGACCAGCACCTCTGCTGGGAAATGAGTCTCTAAGTCAGTTTTGAGCTGCTCAGTTTGCTTTATCCCCTTCCCTAGCTTGGAGATTACTCTCTAAACTGCTTCTCTAGTGATGCTGCGAGGAGGGAGGGGTGATGCTCAGCACTGCTTTGTGTCGTCTCCATCCTTCAGCCATCAGAGCAGAGCTTCAAGCACAGGTCACAAAGATGATGGTGGTGGCACACAGGGCTTCCCACATGCAAAACATGTCCCTTCTCACTCCCAAGAGCCTGCTGTGGTGGGTAGGGGAGACCACACCACCCCGGGTTATTTTAGGAACGACCAACTGTTTGCAGCTGCAGCAGCTCATCTGCTGCCACAACAACCATAGGCGCTGGTGTCATCTCCTGAGAAGAAGGGACCTGAAATACCTTTGATGGTCTGAGCCAACAAGATGTGAAGGAGGCTTTTCAGTTAACCAGGTTTCATATTTCATGTATTCAATCAGATTAAACAGCACTTCCTATGCTCTTAGGACATAAGAATCATAGAATCATAGAATAGTTAGGGTTGGAATGGGTTATTTTAAAAGCTGTTTCAAACTTCTGGCTCTAGCTAAACTCCAAATTCCCTACAAAGACAGCCTGGAATAATTCATAAGTGAAAACTGATCCAGCAAGGAAGAAATCATTTGCCATTTACTAATAAAATCAAACCCTGTTTGACTGTAATTACACCTTTGAAATTGTCTGGAACTGCTTTGTGCTATTCTGGCACCAAGCCCCCTAAAGCAAGTACACACATCCTGATACAGCTGGTTTCTGATCAGCAGATTTCAATGGTTACACTTATGGCAAAACCTCACTCAGAAACACCAGCAACACAAACAGAGATCATACACCATGATTTTCACATGGAGCCATAGCTAAAATCACTGGTGTTCATCAGACATCATCAGACTGGAGAGAGTTGTGTCTACTCTCTGGTTACAACAGCCAGAAACGGTCCAGTTTACACTGAATCCCAGACTGGTTTGGGTTGGAAGGGACCTTAAAGCCCACCCAGTTCCAACCCCCTGCCATGGGCAGGGACACCTTCCACTAGAGCAGCTTGCTCCAAGCCCGTGTCCAACCTGGCCTTGAACACTGCCAGGGATGGGGCAGCCACAGCTTCTGGGGCAAGCTCCTGCCATGGTCTGAATTACAGGAGCTGCAAACCTGCAGCTGAAGGAAAGATTAGAAGACAACCTCTAACAGAGGAGACACATGAGTCTTGGCCTGGTGCTGTCCTGGCTGTGTTTCAGCTCCATGTGGGCCAATGTTGGCTGATACCTGGAAGCAACAACTCGTGCAAAGACATTCATCTCCCAGCCAGTCCTTACTCGCACAGCACCAAGCTCACTCACAGCATTTCCTGATGATGCTGGTTAAGAAACCACTTTCAGGTGAAGTGGGAGATGGAAGAGGACTACACCAGCCAATTACAACTGCACTGGCTTCTCTCAGAGCAGCTTACAACCAACAGCACATAGAAAGCCCCCATCTCCCATCACTCACTTGCACTACATACCAACAACCAAGATCCAGACCTTCTCCTGGTGAGGATGTTCAGGTCCTCCCTAGCAGATTGTTTCAGACTCCTGAGAGCAGAGATTTAGCTCTTTCCACAAACTGGCATCTCTCACTGATTAAATATTATCTGTTAATTCACCTTCAGGATAAATTTGATGCTGTTGTTGTATAAAATTGTGCCCAGAGGGAATTACCGCTGCAGGTCTGATAAGGAAACAATGCTATTCACCAGGGACAGGCTTGATTAATATCTTAATTATGACCACAACTCATTTAAAATGCACATTTAACCCCCAAATCCTATTTTCCCATGAGTGCAGAAGAAGTCTTCCCTTGCTCATGGGGAGAATTTGCTGGCCTACACCTCAGTGCAATAAACCCCAGCTTTTTTGTGGTGAAGCATCCGTCACTCTGGAAACTCTGCAGGGCTTTAGATGGGACTGACTTCCCAGGACTTGAGACATTGCCTCCTGTCAGCAGCAGCAACTGCTACCCTGCACAAAGGCAAGATAAGACACGTCAGTTTACACCTCTCCTATCAAGATTGAAGCCAACATCTTATTTCACGCTGGTGCACAGCAGCACGGGGACATTGCTGCTTGTCAGCAGGGATGCAGTAACTCAAGCACGAAGAGGAACTACACAAAGTAGCTCTGGTTCCACAGCGTCCTCCTGTGGCATAATATAAGGCTCCTTTTAATTAGGATGGGGTAAGAATTCCCTATGCTACCCAGTGTCAGCATGAAAAGACCTAAAATACAGCTGATTCTAGAAAGCAAACACAAAACTCCTTCTGTTAATGTGCTCTTTTATCAGCATCTCACACAAAAGAGCAACCACGTCACACTGCAGGAAAAACTCCATGCACAGAAAGGCTGGAAAAAAAATGGGATTTTACACATATTTATTAGGCACAAACCCTCCTGTTTGCTGCTGAAAGCCACTGTTTGGCAATGGGACGGGACATTCATTTCACCACCTATGATGCAATTTACAACGGGTCCTTTTTGCACTTGACTTACTTAGCAGCAGAGGCTGGCAGGAAGCTCTGGGCTCAACGTGAGGATGAGGTGGTTTCTACTTGAAGCCTCTTCTCAGGCTTTGGCACGATGGGGAGCGTGGGGAGGGCTTCACCACAGCGCTCTACCCTGCTCCTCTGCAGTACTCAAGCAGAGCAGTGGTAGACGACAGGGAAAGTACAGCACAGACAAGCAGGAGCACCCCATGGTTTAGACTCCATATTTTCAAGTTTTAAACAGTTTATGTAAGTTAAAAAGATAAAGTTCTACAGTGGAATCAATCCCCCCCATGAAGACACCAAGCAAAAGGTTAGCACACATTTAGCATCCAGAACAGGAGCACAGCACCACATCTCGATCCACGTCAGCCTGCAAGTGAGTGTAATCCAAAACTAAGTCAAACTACACCATAAAGTTGTAAAGCAGGAGTGGAATTCTCATTTAGCATTCCCGTGCTTCCCCTCAGGCCCTGCTGGTTTCATGTTAAGCACTTGGGGTGTGATATCCAGAGGGGATGCTCCCTCACCAGTATCCACATCTGGGGCAGAACCTTCTTCCCTAAATCTTTTGGAGGATGTGTAGTGTGAAACGAGTCTAGGAGAGATAACATGTGATAAATATGAGCTTCCAGAGAGGAGACAGGCAGAAGCTCTTCCCTGTGAGGGTGCTGAGGCGCTGATACAGGGTGCCCAGAGAAGCTGTGGCTGCTCCATCCCTGGCAATGTTCAAGGCCAGGTTGGACACAGGGGCTTGGAGCAAGCTGCTCTAGTGGAAGGTGTCCCTGCCCGTGGCAGGGGGTTGGAACTGGAGGAGCTTTAAGGTCCCTTCCAATACAAACCATTCCATGCATTCATATGTCAGCTTCTGAGATATGATTCTATAAATGGCATTCTCCAAGGTAATACTTTGTCAACTTACATTCTTTCATTTTTACTTAGAGAACCACACACAAATCCCAGTTTTGAATTATGTTACTGTGACCTGCAGAGCCCAGAGTCATTTTAACAGCGTGAAGCGAGCTGGTCACCTCCAGCTGATTCAGCTTTTTAAATTACCAACCAAAATGGTCTTTTAAGAAGTACAAACCCAATAAGCACAAATGCCCAGGGAGCTGCTATTTGCCATCGCTGACAGCATTCCTGGTACTGCACAAAGGCACAGCCCTCGCTCCAACAGGATTACTGCCTAAAAGACAGAGTGCGGCCCTGGCTGGCTGCATGAAGGTGCAAATGTTCCCAGTTTTAATCCTCTTTTATCGAGGGGGAGGATTAGTGGTTCTGCTGGACTACCATAAAAACATAAAGGAAGTGTGTTTTAGCAAAGGATTCGAGCAAGAGCGTGGTGACGGCTAGACCAAGACTTAGAGGTGTGAAGTATCACATTAACCATAGCAGCCCTTGTCCCTCCTGGATGTTGTCTTCAACTCTGGCTAGGTGGACTTGGTCCTCATATACTAATTCAATAGGATCAGCATATGGTAAAGACAGATGATTCAGCCCTGACCACATTTAATTCTCTAACTTGCACCCCAAAATGGCAATTGTGGCCCACCTCTAGACGACAGTTCTGTTAATGATGCAGCCTTCAAGATGACATAATCTTAGAATCACAGGTTGGGTTGAAAGGGACCTCAAAGCCCATCCAGGTCCAACCCTTGCCACAGGCAGGGACACCTTCCTCTGGAGCAACTTGCTCCAAGCCCCTGTGTCCAACCTGGCCTTGAACACTGCCAGGGATGGGGCAGCCACAGCTTCTCTGGGCACCCTGTGCCAGCGCCTCAGCACCCTCACAGGGAAGAGCTTCTGCCTAAGAGTTCATCTCAGTCTCCCCTCTGGCAGGTTAAAGCCATTCCCCTTGGCCTGTCCCTACAGGCCTTTGTCCAAAGCCCCTCTCTGGGTTTCCTGCAGCCCCTTTAGGCACTGGAGCTGCTCTAAGGTCTCCCCTTCAGGAGGCT